AAAAAGGCTGATGGTTTCATCTCACCACGGCTCCATGTGAGAAAGATATGGCAGTCTGCTTCTGTAAAGATTTATAGCCTTGGAAATTCTATCAGGCAGTTCTGTCCTGTCCTTAGGGACAATCGATCCGATGGCAACAGGTCGGTATTTTGGTTGCATTTCAGCTGTCTTCATTTGACAAGCCAAAAAAACTTCATTGCCATCAAATCGATTCTGACTCAGTAATCCTATATAGAGATTCCAAGAATGTAAATTCTTTAAAAAATCAACTTTATCTATAATTTACACAATAAAACATATACATTTCAACTTTATAGTTCAGTTATTTCTTGACAAATGTGTCTATCTGTGGAATCACTACCATAATCAAGATATATAACATTTCCTTGGCTGAGAAAATTTAATTATTCTCCTTTGTAGTCAGAAAAATAAATAAAACAACCTTCAAGCCAGGCAAACACTAATTTTTTTGACATATCAATATAGATAAATTTGACCCATTCTAGAACTTCATATTTATAGATTACAGAATTTACTCTTTTGTAAATTTACCTGGTATCTTTCTGTCAGCATAATATATTGTGAATCGATTCATCTATGTTTTGCTTATATCAGCAGTTTCCTTTTTACTATTGAGTAGTAGTCCACTGTAGGTATGGGAGTCCTGGTGTGGCCCTCGGGGTTAAGGCACTAGACTAAAGGTTGGTTTGAACCACAAGGTCGGCAGTTCAAGCTCATCAGTCGCTCCCTGGAACCCCTATACAGGGTCGCTATGAGTTGGAACCCACTTGACAGCACTTATTGCTACAAACATTTTTGTACAAATTTTTTTTCACAACTTTCCTTTAATTAAATTCAATACCACTCCACTTTTCCTAACTATTACAAAAATTTCAAAAGGATGTAAATTTTTACTAAATTAGAAAAACCTATCTTTCTCCTGCAGTGTGGCTGGTGCGTTTGAACTCCCAACTATGCGATTAGCAGTCCAGTGTGTATCCTACAGCATCATTTTTGAGTTCACTTTGATTTTCTACCTAGTCTTTGTAGTCACCAGAATTCGAAATCATCATTTTACTGGAGACCTAGATATTTCAGAGATGAACTGTGCTTTCAAGCACTACCTTTGTTTTAAAGCTATGTTACTGTTAAAAGCTACATATACCAACTGTTAATACAACTAGCAGGATTATATTAAAATGTACAATACCTATTATTGTTAAGAAACTTTCCATATCCTAACTTTGGTCTGCCTTCAATTTCTCAAAACCTCAACATTCAGTCTTTTACCCTTCCCAAGAAGAAAGAAATTAACCCTATATTCCAATATTATGGCACTGGTGTGGCACTGTAGGATCAGCACTGGACTGCAAACCACAAAGTGGCATTTTAAACCCACCAACCACTCCTCAGAAACCCTACATAGGGTCCCTATGAGTCAGAAGCGACTCAACGGCACTTAATAACAAGAATACCAACCAAAGAGCCTCTTGTACCTGTACTGAAAAAGTAAACTAAGACAGGAAGGCAAGTCAAAAAGGTCTGATTAGCAACACAGAATACTGGAAGTCTTTTTATTCAGAACATACTAGATCTTCTTTTAAACAGAATTTATTAAGTTTGGTGATTTGGTTTTCCATCCCACAACAAGACTATTGTTGTTGTTTAGGTGCCATCGAGTCGGTACCGACTCACAGCAACCTTATGCACACACAACAGAATGAAACACTGCCTGATCCTGGGCCAATCTCACAATTGTTGTCATACTTGAGCCCATTGATGCTGCCACTTTGCCAATCCATCTCGTTGGGGGGGGTCTTCCTCTTCTTCTCTGACCCTCCACCCTAGATGCAGTCAATTGGAAAAGGGCTAGGGGCAAAGAGGGTGCTGCTAAAAGCAGACGTTCAAAATATCAAATCAAAATCAAAACTTAAGACCTATAATAAATGTAGTAGAAAACCTCAAAGCATAGCAGGCAAGGCCATTTGGTATAACAACAACAAAACAAATCTAACCCACTGCCATTGAGTTGATTCCTACATAGGATTTCGGAGTCTGTAAAAACTCTTTATGGGAGCAGACAGTCTCTTCCTTTAGCAGAGCACTGGTAGGTTTGAACCACCAACCTTGTAGTTAGCAGTCCAATGCTTATCTCAGTGCTACCAGGGCTCATTTGGCTATTTGGTATAAATGCAAACTATTGCAGAGAATACTCCTCAATCCTGCCCAGAATTACACTGAGTGCTCATAATGACCCTCTTTGGTACACTGTGTTGTAAGCATAGATCAGGAGACTTTAAAAACCATTTCAAAATAAAGACCACCAAAACCTTTTTCCAAAAAAGAAACATTTGAAGGACTGCCCAAGTCATTAAATACTATTACCCTCTGTCAAAGAAGCAAGATACTGAATTCCTAAAGATGCCTCAATGTGTTTGTTGTTCTTAGTAAAATTTTATTAGAACCCAGATACAGCAATCCGTGATCACTAAAACTTGGGGAAGTATTTTAGGAATATTTAGAAAATTATAATTAGGAATATATAGACCAAGAAAGTTTTGGGAATCCATTATAGATAAATAACTATGACTGAGTATAAGAAAAATTGAATTTATCTGTGAACCACAAGATCAGTAGTTCAAACCCAATAGCTGTTTCTCACAAACCCTATACAGAGTCACTCTGTGTCAGCTCGAAGGCACTTAACATGTCTAGTAAGTCTTCCATTCAATTTAAAACTAGTGTCATAGAAAAAGTTTCTTGAGGGAAAAACTCCGTTTTGTTTTTATAATCTTACTAATGTGCCAAAAATAAATATTTTTCCAATCATTGGCAGTCTCAGAAGTTAAACCATACTTTGAGGAAAGCTCCTTTTATAAGTCAGGCAGGGGGAAATAAATACATGTTAAAAGTTCCAAGTTACTATCTAAACTTGATTTACTTCATTAAAATTTTTATAAGGATGTGTTCCAGAGAAACTCTATTCTAGGAATTATGAACTAGTAAAAAAAAAAAAATTCATACAATTGGTGACAGGTTTTATTAAAATGTATGTTTTGAGTTAGAGTGCTCTCTTTCTCTGAAGAAGTCCGTGATACATATATCAACCAATGTAGAGATTAAAGGTTAGATTTATCTATGAAGTATATCACACATTCTGTTCACTCTTCTTCAGTCTATGAAAGTAAGAGCACAATCTTCTACAGGTGTAAACCAAATGGCATCTCAACTTGCTAACTTCCCAATTAGACACTCAAGAAACTAACAACTCCTGAAAGTCTTCAAAATACATAAATAAAGGTGGCTTCAAAAGGTTCGTGGAAAATTTCTATTTTCTCACATATTTTTTGAAGACTCCCTGTATAGTTTACTTTGATGGTCATTCCTCAGTGTAATCCTGTTCCTTCAGTGATTCTTTTAGAGATCTTTGCTTAAGGTTTCAGCTTCTTTTACCAAATAACCTGCCTCAGTGTAGTACAAAATTTAGTCTTAAAAGTCTGCTCTTCATCTGTTAAAAATTAAATAAGTCAAAAGAATTAGTTAAGGATCCAACCTAATGTACAGTAACAACTGGGTTTAATTCCACACTATGTTCTAAGTCTTTGATCAAGAATTACATGAAGACCGCCTGCTGAGTTGAGGCATTTATAACATCCAACAATCTACATGTTGATGGTGTAAAGCAAGGTGAAAATTGGCTTCCTTTTGCATCGGCATCCCATGGTTCAAGATGGATAGGATAGGTACTTATTTCTTACTATTAGTTAAAGGCTTAATACTGCCACTCTGGGCAGCCAAATGAATCTCCACTTATAAAGTGGAAGTGGGGGAAAAGGAGAGTGTGTAGAGTGTGTGACGCGGGAGGGGGGCGGGGTGCCGTCGAGTCGGTTCTGACTCACAGTGAGCCTGTGGCGGGTTTCCGAGGCTTATGCATCGTTATCAGAGCAGAAAAGCCTCATCTTTTCCCGCAGAGCGGCTGGTAGATTCGAACTGTTGACCTTTAAGTTAGCAGCCAAACTCATAGTACCAGGGCTCCTTGTTACAATAGTTGAGTAGAAGAAAAAAATTTTTTTAAACCAAACTCATCCTCTATATAGTAGTACTGAGAAAACCTCCTTTAACAACTTAATGAATAAATTCTAATAAAAAGCCTTAAAAAAAACCCTAAATTAAAACAAACAAACAAAACTCTTTCTAAACGTATCTCCTAATTTAAGTATTAAAGTTCACCTTGTGTGAAGTGAAAGGAACCTTTGTGTAATTTTTCCAGTGGTTTGCAATGTTCTGGTTTCTACTTCTACTCTTGCCAATTTAGCAGCTTTTCTATTCGATTCGTTCTCGATACTCTGTTAGTTTCTAACTACATATGACAACCTCAGTGCATCAAACGCTTTTTCTGCTATTTCCCCTCTCTTAGAGGAGTCACTTTTCCTTCTCAACTTCCTACTCTTCAGCAGTTTCTCGTCGAGCAGGGTGGGTGGATCGAAGTCTGAAGCCGCCCAAAAGACAGCTTCAGTGAAGAAACACTTGTGGACGGGGCCAAGCTGCTTCCTCCATCTCTCCGAGATACGGGGCCCGGCTCCGCGGCTCGGAGAAAGTAAGTAGGGCAGGTTATGGGGGCCGAGATGGGGCGAGGAGCCCTTTCCACCTCTGTCGGCGGGACCGCCCAACGCCCCAGCCCCCTCCTCGGCCCGGCCGGACAATGGCTCTCATGCCCAGCAACCCCCAGGCCTTCATTGACCTGGGGGCTTCATCCCACGCGGGGTCTGGAAAGGGAGCCGGAGAGCGCACCTCCGCCTAAGCGCGGGCTGCGTGCCGGGGCCTCCTCGGGCGCCATCACTGGGAGTGGGGCGTGAAGGCCTCCCGGCAGGGCCATTGCCGACTGCCGAGTCCGAAGAGGCCGCGAGCCTGGTGGAGGCGACGGCGGGAAGTGCAGGCCGCAGCCTGCTCAGCCGACCCGCCAAGTGGCCTGTCCCCGCAACCGACCTCCAGTCGCTTACCTTGTGGATTCTCTTCAGAGCCATCGTGCGAGGCGGGTGGCGGCGGCCCCCGGGGCGGGGACGGGGGCGGGGACGGGGATGGGGAAGGGGCAAGGGGATGCGAGGCCGCCTCGGCGATTGCGGGTCGGCCGGAGAGGGCGAGGAGGGCCGGAAAAGACGAGGGGTTCCTGAGCTCGGGCCCGGTGGGACGGGCTGAGGGCCGAGGCCCACTCGGCTCCAGAGCCTGCCGCAGCGGTCACCGCATCACCCGGCGGCGGCCCCTTTATGCGCGGCCGCTCAAGCCGCCGCCGCAGCTGCCTTTTCCTCCCAGGCTCAGCGCTTCCTCCCAGGCTCAGCGCCGCCTCCACAGCCGCAACGGATCCCTCCGCCGGAAAGCAAGAGCCCCAGCCTCTGGTTGGCAGGCGCCTCTCGGTCGGACAACCGGAGAGACTGCCTGCTTTCCTGCCCGCTGCAGGTGGACCGAGGGACGCGCGAGCGGGCGGCGCCTCTGGGGTGGGGCCGCCAGAACGCGGGGTGGGCCCAGGCCGAGGGGAAGGTCGGGAGACGCGGGGATTGGTGGACCAGAGGAGGGAGGGCCGAGCTGCGCTGGCGCGGAGGGATACGGGTCGTCCATGTAAAGAACCTACGGCCGTCGCCGACGCTGCCACGGCAGTCGAGAGGATGACGCCAGGAAGGGTAGGGAGGAGATCTCGCGATCGTTGAGACGCGGGTCCTGGTTATTCCCGCGCCGCGACCCTTGAGTCTCTTCTTACTAGTTCCCCACTCGTGTGTCATCGAAGATCAATAAACATTTAAGGGCGAATATTTTCCAGATCGCTTGACTGTCCCCATACCAGTCCCAGGAGAAGGCACTTAGGACCATTGCAACATCTAAAGGAGGAAGAGACTTGTCCAAGGTCATATAACTCCTCAGCGGCAGAGCAGGGATTTCCCTGAAGTCGTAGATCTCTTCAGATTCGAAAGCCTAGTTGTAGCAGCCTAGGCACCTGCCGGGGATTTAGCCATTGTGACCAAGGCCTTAGCTGGAGAGGATTTGAATGCTGCTCTCTCTTCAGCCACTGGCATGTCAGCCATAGGAAAGGCACACAGAGCTCACTACTTGGTGAATTGTATAAACAAGAGATAAACACTGGACAGCTAGCCGCAAGGTTGGCAGTTCAAACCAACCAGCCATTGCTCTATGAGGTCGTTATGAGTTGGAATGGTTTGAACGACGCTTAACAACAAATATCAATTACTTCAGAAAAACTCTGTGTGCTCCAGTAGTTTAAACCAACTTTGTGCTTCAGATCTCCTCCATCAGCAGTGTCCACTGATAAACAAGCCTAGAGAATATATTGTGGAGTTTTTTTTAGGAGGAGGAGACAAAAAGCTAATTCACTGAGCCCTTCCTACTCTTTCTAGATAGCTACACAAGGACCAGAGTCAGATACACGCCAGGTCGCACCTGAGAGGTGCTTATCTAGCTGAAGACACTGGAGAATGTTGTTGCTGTTAAGTACCGTCGAGTGGGTTCCGACTCATAGCGACCCTGTATAGAGTATCTGAGAAACGACTGGTAAATTTGAACCGCCGACCTTGAGGTTTGCAATCCAGCACATTAACCCACAGCAGCACATATTTTCCTATGATGTCCACGTTCTTAAAGCCGCAGCACAGTTTTCTGATTCTATATTCTTTCCTCCACATCTGGAAAGGATTTGAAGATCATTCATTGATTCTAGCTTCTGAATTTGTTGTAATTAGGTGCTCTTGAGTCAGTTCTAAGTCATAGTACCATCTATACAACAGCAGGAAACACTGCTTGGCCCTGTACCATCCTCACAATCCTTGTTAATGTTTAAGCCCATTGTTGCAGCAACCCTATTAATCCACCCATCGTTGAGGGTCTTCCTCTCTTTGGATGATCCTTTACTTTATCACGCAAGATGTTCTTCTCCACGTACTGGTCCCTCCTGATAACATGCCCAAAGTCATGAGAGGTCTCTCCATACATGCTTCTAAGGAACATTCCAGCTGTACTTATTCCAAGACAGATTTGTTCCTAAATTTAGAAAGGAGAAACCTGGAGCCCAATGTAGGAAAGTATCTTGCCAAAATCACACAAAGTCAGTGGCAAAGTTCATACTACCTCACCTACTGAGGAGTTGGACAGCAACTTGCTAGGGCAAGGCCACTTGGGTCCAAAGAGTAAAAGGAGAGAAAGTCTGTAAGGTCATCCTGGGGGAAATGTTTGAATTTGGAATGGAGAAATACTCCATAGCCTGAGATCTTTTCTATTTAAGAAATGTGATACCCACTGGTCAGATTTACATTTTTCAATAATAATGTTTCATACATTAAAAAAGTAATATATGTTTGGTGCAAGAAATGCATATAGGCAAAAGGAAAGAAATATTAGTGTGGCGCTGGAGGAAAAACACTGGGCCGCAAAGTTGGCTTGAACCACAAGGTCAGTGGTTCAAACCTACCAGCCAACCCTTGGAAGACCCTATACAGGATTGCTATAACTCCATGGCACTAAACAACAACAATAACATACACTCATCATTCAGATATTAGCCATTTTTAACATATTGGTATATGTCCTCTCAGTCTTTTTACTTTTAAGTATTGTCTCACTTTTCTAGTGCTACTATAACAAATATACCACAGTGGGTTAATTTAAAGAACAGAAATTTATTTTCTCACAGTTTAAACTAGATGTATAAATTCAGGGCTCCAGCTATAATGGAATGTGTGTACTCGCTCTTTCTCTCTGTCTTTCAGAAATCCTTGCCTCAGACATGCCTGCATTCCAACACAATTTTCAATGGTTAATAAAAGATCTGTAGACAGACCAGTTCCTTTCCTGATTCTTGGGTTTCCTTATTTCTCTTTTCTCTCAATGAATAAAGACCAATAACTCTCTCTCTCTTTTTTGGTCTGTACCTTATTTTACTTCTTTTTGTTGTTATTGAGAATTTACAGTACACAGCAGAACATACACCAGTTTAACAATTTCTGCATGACCAATAACTATCTCTTAGATGACTGCTCACACTCTTTTTAAATTAGTATTATTATTGTGATTGAGTATATGTTTACAGAGCAGATCATCAGTTTTACATTCAGCAAATCATACACTTCATTTCATCTCAATGATTGCAATCCCCTCCACATAACAATTATCACACTTCCTCCCTGTGGTTCTTACTTCCACTCCACCCTCCTTCACAACCATTTTGAACTTTGTGCTTAAGTAAATGATGGCCTTTTGATCTTGAATGATTAACTATTCCATAGTGAGCATACCTTACTAGTGTTGCTAGTAACACTTGGCTGAAAATTGAGCCACTAAAGTGGAACTCTGGTAGCGTAATGGTTACAAATCAGGCTGTGAACCTTAAGGTCAGCAGTTCAAAACTACCAGCTGCTCCGCAGAAGAAAGATGAGGCTTTCTGCTCCCATAAAGATTAACAGCTTCGGAAACCCTGTACAGGGTCGCTATGGGTCGGAATTGACTCAAAGGCACTTAACAACAACAACAAAGTGGAGTTCTGGTGTGGCACTGTAAGATAAACATCACTCAACCACAAGGGTAGTTTGAACCACAAGGTTGGCAGTTCAAACTCACCAGCCATTCCTCAGAAGCCCTATGTAGCATTGCTATGAGTCAGAATTTGCCTGACAGCACTTTAATAACAGCAAGGTGAGTCCAGAGTCCTGGTGTGACGCTGTCAGATAAACACTAGACTGCTAATCTAAAGGTCTATGGTTCAAACCCACCTGTTGCTACTGGGAACCCCTTTTCAGGGTCACTGTGAGTTGAAACCAGCTCAATGACACAACAGGGTGTGTTCAATTCCAGACCTGCAGTGTGACTGAGAGCTGTCATCTCTGGGTCCTCCAATCTCTTTCTGACCAGTAAACCTTGTCTTTTATTATTACTTTTTTGTTTTGTTGCCTCTTGTTTCCCACTCTATCTAAAATCTTCTAATGTGATCCCTTTCAGAGCAGTTGTTAGTGGTAGTAGGGCACCATCTAGTTCTTCTGGTCTCTGAATCATAGAGACTGATGTTCAAGTATTCCATCAGTCCATTGGACTAATTGCTTCCCACATCTTCAATTCTCACCATTCTTTGTTCACACATGGAGAGATCAGTAGTTGCATCTTAGACAGCTGCTAATGAACTTTAAAGATCCCAGTCACTACTCACCAAAGACAATGTTCTTGTGACCTATGGACACCCATGGTGTCCCCTGAGACTATGGTCCTGAGTCCCAAGGCCCAGAAACTTGTTACCTCAAGATTTTGGTAATATCTAATTTTCATCATTTTCCCCTTGTATGCTCCACCACCTTCATAGGTGTGTTTGCAACAAAGATAAATTTTGTTGTTAAGTGCCGTCTAACTGGTTCTGATTCACGGTGGTGGTGGTTATGTGCTGTGGAGTCGGTTCCAACTCATAGCGACCCTGTA